AGTGGAATTTGAAAATGATAACCCTCTTGTCCTTTGCAATAAATAAATGGGTATTGCAGAGCGTCATAAAACTTGTGTGTATCGGCTACCCGTTGCAACGTATCATCACGTGCTCGCAACACATGACAATGTCTCGTGAAGAAAATTGATCACCACTAATTACGGCTGCTATTTCGTTTATCAAAGGTGCATTGTAGCGCCTTTCATGCTCTCCTCGAGGGGTCCGATCCGCGTGAATGACGACTTTATAATCCTCATCAGGTAGGTTTTCTAAGGCAGTTTTAAATGTTTTGACTAAAATGTTATGTTCATGCGAGAATCTTCGAATTTTGAACACTGTGTCTCTCTCAACTCCCTGGATAAATTGGCAGCGACGGCCTACCTCAATTTCTTCGTCAGCCATAAAATATACTTGTAAAAATTTATGCTGTTCGTTTTCAGCTGGAAAAAGTGAACCTATTCTATGATAAATCTGCCCTTGCACCGTAAATGTAGGCGATTATTGTTTTTGGCCAAAAACAATAATTAAAAAGCTGAAGGTACTCCGGGTTAACTTTGACATCGGGACGTCAGTCACCTCAGTCCCCCGTGACCATGGGTGCTGGAAAGCACCCGAAACGTCGGGTATTAAAATTAATATAAATAAAACGCGATAAAATCGCGATTAAAAGGAATAAATATTCCTTTTAAATATTTTTTAAAATCAAAACAACAAAACCAATTCAAGACACAACACGAATCCGAAAACGATAGCCATAAAAAATCGAATCAACTTAAACCAAATCACAAAACAAATCGCAGAAAACCGAAATCGAAAGCAGTGGTCAATATAAATATAACCAACGAAAAAAGAAGTAAGTGTATAGTTACCGTATACACTATCTATACTATTAATATTCCAAATATTTTAAACAACCTAAAACAACGAAAACCAATTCACGATTCTAAATAAACAAAATCCAAAATCAAAGCCAGAGTAAATATGTATAAAGGAATACCAACCAAATCAACAAAACCGATCCAAGAAAATACACAAATCCGAAAATGAAAGCCAATATAAATCCATTCAACCTTAACCAAATCACAAAGCAAATAACAAACAACCGAAATCGAAAGCAGGTAGTCGAATAAGCTACGAAATAGAAACAATTTAAGCGTATAGGTACCGTGTGCACTATAAGTTGACGCGCGGCTCAACGGCGGGAGTTAAGTACATGTCAGGAAACATTTCGTTACCGCGTTTTAAAACCTAGTAACGACATCTAGCGGAATCAATTTAAACTATGTATACGTTAGTTTATAAGAACTCTCAAAAAATATTCATTCATAACCACATATAAGAACTGTATTCATTTCCGTTCAATAAATATTACTAAGGCTTATTAATAAGGCTTACTAAGAACTGTTTCTATCACAGTTAAGTAATAGTTAAGGGTGAAAACGTGACAGGTGGTGATAGTACTTCTGATCCATACTTATAATCACGCCTGTAACCCTTGCGGGGTAGGCAGAGCATCAAGGGATTACTTAATATCGTCTGCGAGGTTATCGCCTATCCTGTGAATTACAATGCACCAAAACGTTTGAAGAAAATCAGCTGGCGTTTTTTATGTTTTCTATCGCTCTCTTCCCGGTCCTGCGTGGAAAAATACAGATCCATAAAATTTTTCTTAATTTTGGTAAAAAGACACACTCAGCGTCACAAAAATCGCACCTCTCTGAGTTTACGCGAAAAATGGCTGTAATGGCTAGAAACGAATTATATTTATATAAATATTGGTATATTTGTAATGGGTATTTGAATAGCTTTACATTATTAATAAAAAAATCATGAAATCAATATAACATTTATCATTATAGAGCGTCAAAAATAAACACTGTCAAATCTCGTTAGTAAGGACGCTAGTTACACCACCTAAAAAGGGTATAAAAGGGTCGATCTGGATGAAATATGGGGCAGTCGTAATTTAGACTTTGCAGTGAACACACGTGAACAAGTAACCCAAGTAAGAACAAGTAAAGATGGACACCAGCTCTGAAGAAGCCGCTCAAGTGATTGCCCTATTTCAGTCGGGGATGCGGCAGTGTGACGTTGCTCGACAGTTGAACCTGTCCCGTTTTTCAGTTCGACGGGTGTTCCAACGTTTTCAGCAGACTGGTGGTTATGTTAGAAAACCGGGATCTGGAAGAAAACGGTGCACATCAGAAAGAGATGACCGTTTCATCGTTACGACATCTTTACGAAACCGTTTTACAAATGCTGTTGAGTTGCAACAACAGCTTCGATCAACTCTGAGAACATCTGTGAGAGAGTTTAACAGCCCATAGACCTGCTAAAGGTCCAAAACTTACTGCACAGCATCGCAGAGATCGCCTAGAGTTTGCTCGCAAACATTGCGAGTGGACTCTAGAACAGTGGCGGACCGTACTCTTCTCTGATGAGACGAGGGTCTGTCTCTTCTGCAATGACAGACGTAGAAGGGTCTACAGAAGACAGGGGAAGAGGTTCACACAACCCTGCTTCGAAGAATCCGTCGAATACGGGGGTGGCTCGTGTATGTTTTGGGGCGGCATTTCCGTCGACGGGAAAACGGGACTTGTGTGCGTTTCCCGGACTCGGGGTGGCCGTGGGCAAGGGTCATTAAATGTTGGTCGGTACATTACTGAAATCCTGGAGGAACATGTGGTCCCGTATGCTGGTTATGTCGGTGATGGATTCATGATAATGCTCGTTGCCACACCGCGGCTATTGTACGGATTATTTACGATATCCTGTCGATATCCCTGTTATGCATTGGCCAGCACGAAGTCCAGACCTTAACCGGGAACATCTCTGGGATGACCTAAAACGGCGCGTGCGAGCTCGAGATCCAGCTTCAACCACTCTTCAAGAGCTCCAAGATGCGGTACTTGAAGAGTGGGAACAAATACCCCAAGAGGCTGTTGCGACCCTTGTAAGGTCCGTGAAAGATCGCATGGAAGCCATTATCAAGGCAAGGGGGGGGGGTAACACTAGGTTTTAAGAACTTTTTTTGTATTTATTAAGTTTTTTTTTAAATTATTAATTTGCAAATTTGTACATACCCTGCCTTTTTCTTTAATTTCTCTTTCGTCTCGTTATAAAAGCAAAATTCAATTAAAATTCTTGAAAGCTAATGAAATTACCTTTCGAATGATACCCCACCACAACATTGCCATTGGCCTGTTGTGTTAAAATAGTATTTAAATTATTTTTTTCGGATGTGCGATTTTTTTGACGCCGAGTGTAATAATCCAGATATTCTGACGTTCTGTGTTCGTCCATCGTACCGTCGTCCGTCTTGTAGAATCACGGTGGCGCCACCTAGCTGAAATTAATTTTGCAACATATTCTATTTTTCCACGGGAATGATATGTTTTTCCGCTGAAAAAAGTAGCCTATGTCACTCTACAGCCACCGAACTATCCCCATACACCACCTTCCTGCAAAATTCATGCCATGCCGATGCTCTGTTGCGACGTGAAAGAAGGACAAACAAACACACTTTCGCATTTGTAATATTAGTATGGATTCTTATATATTTTTCATCCAAAAATTGACACTTATGATTTTTTTATGCTGATTTTTTGTTCTCGTAATTTTGAACTAAAAAATTATTGATTTAAAAATTAAAATAATTAATCTATAATTTACCCTGTCGCGCCACCCTAATTTAACGCATTTTGAAGGACACTTTCTCATACACAGAGATAGTCCTCCTTATCTCTACCCATTATAATGAAATCTGAATGGCTCTTAAATATAGTTTAATTATTATATTGTCAACATCACCTGCCAATCCCTACCAAAGAGTATATTATTACTATCAACAATAATCCGTAAGATATCTGAACAGAGATACTGAAATTAGCTAAAATTAATCAATAACAATCTTAAATAGTGGAATTAAGTCTTCAGTATGAAGACAAGGCTTTAATATGAGGTCTCTAATGAAGACGAGAGTTAGGATCCACTAAATAAAGTATATGATTCAATCGAATGTCAGTAGTAACCTGCCTTACTGGTATGGTTGTAATGCCTTTATCATAATCATCAGCCTGCGGCAGTCCACTGCTAGACGTGGGCCTTTTCCAATACCTACACGCCACTTAGCCCGATCATCGGCCTCACGCATCCAGTTGCTACCGGCCGCCTTGAGCTGATCGTCGCTCCATCTAGCCATTGATGCAACGTAACGCATTCAAAGAATTGAATTGGTAGGATACTAGTTTTCCTTTGCATTACTTAATATAGACTCAAGTCTACAACGTTTTGTGGCATTCCTTGAGGGAATTTTAAAAGGCTGTAATGATGATTAAACCTGGTGATTCTTTGATAATGACTACTAGTCAAACTATTGATGTAGTTTGTAACTAAAACGTAAGTAGCGATACTTTTTTGGTATAGCAGTCGCACTCTGTCTACGATATGGAGTGTAGAAGTAAGGAGTACCAACTCCCATAGTAGAATAGTTGAAAAAGTGGCCGTGGATCCGTAAGCAGTAAATAACAGCTCAAAAACTCTCCACAACAGCGCTGGAGTAGCTACTGAGATGAAATGAACTTAGCTGTTGTCGACGGTTTAAAGTGTGCTGCTAAACTGCTCAGCAGCTCTAAAATCTAAAATAATTTTATTTAGTAAATATAACTTCGAAAAAGTCGTCTATCCCACTTATATTTTTCAGCACGTTCTTTAAAAGTAGTTATAGTGGCGCCACCCTTATTTAACGGTTTTCTATGGACACTTTTTAAATTACACAGTCTGTACTCCTTACTTCTACACACCCGTAGACAGAGAAATACCTTCACTCCATATGTCTACGAGTAGCAGTGACGTTTCCCATTTCCCACAGAGTAGTAATAAATTAACAAAATATTGTCACTAGTATATATACAGTAATCTATGATTGTGTTGTTACCATGGAAACCGTTTGTTTTGATTTCAAGCGCTTTAAAGAAATCACTTTTAGAAAGAACCTGAAATGCCATTATTTAGCAACAAATTTACGCCGAAAACAATTCCTGTGCGACGACAAGACACTTCAGTAATAAGAAACGAGTTCGGCAGTGACTATGCCTCAAAGGAATTATCTATAGATTTGTGCCCCCTCAAGTTAAAGTTGGGAGATTTCGAATTGTCGTTTGAAGAAGGCCAATGGATTCCAGGTATTGTACAATAAGTGCGTTGAAGTAATTCGAGTAAAGTATTTTTAGTAATTAGTACGAGTATGTCGTATTCACAAAAATATCACTGAATCAAATAGAATAAGTAAGTAATAAATATTCGTTAACGATTAGAATTATACTTGACTTAGGGAATGAAAAGTATAGGAAAATAATTATTGCCATAGAGTGGGGTAAAATTTAATAACTGAAAGGATAAGAAGTTTAGCAATTTACGAGTAGCTTTTATTGCATATAAGCCATTTAGCTAGAAAACGCAGTCTGCGGACTTGGAATGGAATAGGTCCTTAAGTAAGAGTTGAGTGTATGATAACTTTATTTTCAATTATATTATAATAAATATATCAATATAGTTTATTTTTGGTAATAGATGTTACTAAAAGTCAACCCCTCGGAATGTATCGTGAAAAAATATGTAATATAAAAAAATTGACATGCAATTTCTTATCGAAAAACACCAATATAAGGTAACATCGGCGTGATCTGCTGTATTTCGCTGCCTTTTATTACGTAATTTTCTAAAGTCATGCTGGTAAGATTAATACTATTATTTATGTAATTTTATAATTATTTGAGGAATTATATAGGACACAAATTATTTAATAACATATCCACTCCATATTCGTGAGTGTCGTAAGAGTTGACAGTGGAAAATAAATCAGGAGATGGGCAGCAGCGTCTTCCTAATAGCGATTATAATAAATTAAAACTGCAGTTGCCAACCCGCATGCCAAGCGTGGCGATTATGGCAAAATGTCCCCTATTCAATCTATGGGGGAGGTCTATGTTCAGGAGTGGACTTTTATAGGCTGTAATGGAATAACGTTGTTCTAAATGTAGAAAATTAAAAAAAAATTGGAATATCTAAAAGCGCATGCTCCAAATTTAATTTAATGAGGTCTAAATATCATCCGCTCACCAGATGTCGCTAGTTGACACTGAGTAGAAGTTTCTTTATTAGGTACCTAATGTCTTTTAATTAAGAAATTAGTTTTACCGAATCGTCACTAGTTTTCTTGCTGATCGGAGCATCAAGGTCGTAGTAGACGGTGCATGCTCCGATTACAAGCCCATTAACGCTGGTGTTCCACAAGGCTGCGTGCTATCACCAACGCTGTTTCTTCTGCATATCAATGACATGTTGCAAGCCGGTAACATTCATTGCTATGCAGACGACAGCACTGGTGATGCTTTATACACCGGCCGTGCCAATATTTCTCGAGAAAATGTCGCAGAGTACCGGGACAAACTTGTGTCTGAAGTCGAAACTTTGAACAAAGTCTCGGACTGGGGGCGACTAAAGCTAGTCCAGTTTAATCCCCAGAAGACAAAACAACCCCTTCGTCGTATCTCCTCAGTTTCAAAGCACTCCCCTTGTTGCCTCAGCCAGTATCGGAATCCTCGGCGTCGACATATCGAGTGACGTGCAGTTTCATGGTCACTTGGAAGAGAAGGCCAAATTGGCCTCTAAAAAGCTTGGCGTACTCAGCAGAGCGGGACAGTATTTCATGTCGGCTCACCGCCTTCAACTTTACTAGGCGCAGGTTCGGACGCACATGGAATACTGTTCCCATTTCTGGGCCGGGGCTCTCCAGTGCCAGCTCCTTCCATTTGATCGTATCCAGCGCAGAGCTGTTCGAATCGTCGAGGACCGAGCTCTTCGACCGACTTGACTCACTGGTACTGCGAAGGGATGTTGCATATCTTTGCGTATTTTATCGCATCTACCACGGGGATCACGCGCATCGCGACAAAACACGCGATACCATTCATACCATCTGGATGACTGGCGGTCCACTACCGTGCGATTTAAAAGAAGTTTTCTTCCTCGCACAACTTTGTTATGGAATCGACTACCACCAGAGATTTTTCTGGACCGATACGACTTAGGGACCTTCAAGAAAAGAGCCTACTCCTTTTTAAAAGGCCGGCAACGCATCTGCAATTCCCCTGGTGTTGCAGTTGCTCATGGGCGGCGGTAATCACTTACCATCAGGTGAGCCTTATGCTCGTTTGCCCCTCTCCTATAAAAAAAACCATAAAGGTTTATCAATTTCTGGAGTATTATATTAATGCACAAAATAATGCCTCTGTGGTTTGCTCCTTAATTTTTTGCACATTTTTAACAATTTTATTAATTTTTCTACTTTTATCAATCTTTTGTTTTTATTTATTATATTTAATTAATATAAGTAAATAAAATATAACTAATAGCACAGAAAGAAACATCAAATTTAAAATTTTTCGAATAAATTAACTTCCCCGCTATTAAATTTGTCAAATATTACACCTCATTTTTATGTAGCGCCGCCCTGGTGGCAGAAAATGTCATTTTTATGAAAAAAAAATCTTTTAAATGAGTCTGATAACAACATGTAATAGAATCCTGAGGATAAATGAAAACTTATTCAGAAAGATTTATTTGTGTTTCTTTTATTTCTTTGCGTATATTTTTCTGAAATGTGAAGGCTAACAAGTGCACAAACTGACAACCGTACTAATAATTTTAACTACATGTTTGTAAATAGGGGAAATACGTACAAAATGACATACAGCTTTGATTTTGGGTCATAACTCTTTATTAATAAATCACAGCACATTCATATTGTACACCAGTAATCTTTGGGTTTATACCTATGAATTCTAATAGATATTTAAAAGATAAACTGACTGATTTTTTTTTAAATAAAGTTTAACTGAATTCAACGAAAATCCATTTTGTCCATAGCATGTGGACAAAATGACATACACTACAAATTTAATAACATTAACGACAAAGCTCGCAAATGAATCGCTTTGTTCGTTTAGGGACGTCCGCGCAAGAAGTCCACTGCGAAACACTTAAACACCGCAACCAATCTTCTCCAGGTTTCGACCGGAAAAAAAAATCGTTGCAATATATGCAAGAGCAATCCTCTTCGTCATCTTGAGCGTTGCATGCCAAAATTTCTTCTTCACCGACTTCTTCGAACAAGATTTTGGTAACGTTTCTTCTCCTCTTTTCTGCAAGAACTTTAGGTTTTTGTTTTTTTGTTTTGACTTAATTGCATTCATGTTTGGAGGAGAAGTCAAAATGAAAGAGGTTAGTTATATCTTTGGCTTACGTTTTCTTTGGCCACTAATGTAACGTCCTTTTGGGACAGGTGATATACTCAATAGGCGCTACTAGAGTATAGGAAGAAGGGCGTTCTTTATTACCAACAGATTTTGATTTGGAGCAGGTAAAATAAGGTCTTGACCAGTGTTTGATGTTGTCGCCTTGTTCAGTAGAGGCGGTTGTTTGAACTGTGTCGTTTTTGTAAGGTGTTTTTGTAAAGTTTTATCTCTAAAGAAATTAACAGCTTTGAATAAAGGTTAGCTAGTGCACAATTAGCTATTGCTAGTGCACAATTAGCTCATTGAGTTCTTATGGACAAAACGACATACCTATGTCATTTTGTCCGTTACCTATGTAGGTATGTCATTTTGTCCTTATAGCGTTATAAAAAATCAAAATTCAACAATAAATTCAAAATTAGTATTATTTACGGAAAAGTTATTCAAATGCAACAACAAGTACCTAAGGGGTGTAATAAATGTACAAGCAAGGTAAAACTATGAAAAATATAATATTAATACATAAAACTCCCTGCAATAAAAAAAAACTTGTAACCTACCAATTTTTGTCGTCGGCTATGACACCCGAACGAAAGACAGGCGCAAGTTCACGTTTTTACAGATAGGTATGAGCTGGTAGAGTCACGTGATATTGTTGTCTAGGACGGGCTAGAATTGACAGAATTTGAAATATGATACCTGTGTCATTTTGTCCGCGTATGTCATTTTGTACGTACTTCCCCTATAACTAAAGGAATTAACAAAAAATACGGTGACTTTATGATTTAATATATCTAGTGTTCAAAACATCCCTTTTTATTGATTTAGTGTATAAATAGAGACATACTAACAATTTCATATTGTGAAATCGTCACATAGCGCCATGTCGAGTGTAGAGCACTCCCACACGCTCGCGCGTTGTGAGGCGTGCAATAAGTTTAAGCGGTCCTTTTCAAATATACCTCGTTTTGTTTAGTAGAATGAAAGTGATTATTAACAAACGAGGCTCTAGCAAGCGAAGACATAAAATCTATTTTAAAAGGCCCATTCTAACTACCACATAATGGTTATGTGCTAAGCAGCTAACCAGTAAGTGGGCGAGAGCGAGTTTTGCTTTCACCAACCCAGCGTGGTGTGACCAATCAACAAAATACATGTTAGTAGGCGCATTCTTAAAAAGCCTTATGCCCGGAAGTGGACGACGAAGGATTAAAAAGTGATAATAAATTTAAATTAAGACTTGATGTTAAGTGGTGATATGTTAAACCATGTTACTACTGAGACAATGTTTTATGCATGTACGTACACAAGAAACCGATATTTTTAACTTCCCGCTAAGAAAAAAAACCGGCCAAGAACGTGTCGGGCCACGCTCAGTGTAGGGTTCCGTAGTTTCCCGTCCGTCACAATAAGTGTTCCCACTTATGAGTTTAAAGGTGGGTATCCATTATGTTCGCGCTCCAGCAGCGCTCCGCGCTCCTGCAACTGCTCCCGGTAGTGGGTACTGTTGTTTCCATCCAAGTTCAAAACGATTTTCCTAGAAAGTCCTAATAAAGTTCTACTTTTCAGATTTTTTTCATATTTTCTAAACTTATGGTTCAAAAGTTAGAGGGGGGGGGGGGAACATTGTTTTTTACTTTTGGAGCGATTATTTCTGAAATTATTGACATTATCAAAAAATAATTTTAGTAAACCCCTATTCATTTTTAAATACCTTTCCAACAATATATCACACGTTAGGGTTGAAATAAAAAAAATCACTTCCCACTTTACATATAGGGGGGGCTACCCTAATAAAACATTTTTTTCCAATTTTTATTTTACCACTTTGTCGGCGTGATTGATACACATATTGGTACCAAATTTCGCTTTCTAGTCTAACGGTCACAGAGATAAAGCGAGGACGGACAGACGGTCAGACGGACAGACAGACATGGCGAAACTATAAGGGTTCCTAGTTGACTACGGAACCCTAATGATAATTTTCAAAAATCGGGGGGAAGTTATTGTTTTTTCACTGTTTTTCGAAAATTGAGTTTTCATGAAAACTTGACGTTTTGAGGTCACAGGAAGCCACCCTAACAGTATTTCGATGGCGCCTGTATGTGAATCTCTTATAACCTTTGAACGGCTTGACCGATTGAAATGAACTAAGCGAATTTCCAAAGTGTTTCATTAACTTACATTTTCTATCAATTTTCACTTATTCAAACCGGTAGATATTGAAAAATCTCAAAAATAAACATTTCGAAAAACTGTTTTTTTTTTTGGAATAACTTAAAAGGTTTTACCGATCGATTTCCAAAACTAATCAGCTTTTAACCTTGAAAAATAACGTCGATCGCCGCCGATCCGGTCAAAATCGGTTGATTCGTTCATGAGATATCTATCGTTAACGAAAAATTTTGAAAAATTAATTTTTTTAAATTACTCCGATATTTCATATTCAACGTCATAAATTGGTGAAAGAAGCGCTTTGCATTTGAAATTATCGAAAAGTTCCAGGGATGGCAGGCATCAGGCTGCAGGTTCAACCAATTTTTTAATTTAAAATGCGACTTTTCATTGATGATGTTACTACCTGTGTGACAAATAAGTTCACCCCAATCCCAGCTATCGACATCTTGTGATCGAAGATTATTAGCCTTCATTGACGGATGATGCCATGACTGATGATGGTAAATCTTCGGATTTCGTAGACTGTTTTTTCTTTTTTTATAGCATAGGGTGACAAACGAGCACACGGTCCACCAGATGGTAAGTACGAATTAAAATGCAGATGAGTTGTCACCCGTGAGGACTAAGATGAAAGTGAAAAAGTGTCTCCAGTTCTCTACACTCACCATACGAAGCACAGCAGCATTGAGCTGGTATTTTACGCCGGTAAATTACATTGTGATGTGAAATAGAATTGTCAGTGAGAAGGTATAGACTCTGCGCCTACTAGGCCCGCCTTATAAGCAGTAGGACCGCCTATTTACTGCATAGATAGAGCATATCACACATCAAATGCAGTGCCTAGTACAACAATACATTTGGTAAGGTTATTCTGTGGCTTAGATATAATATGTTTCTTTTACAAAATGTGCCTTAAATGTCTTTTTGGTGCAGCATCTGGTCGTGCAGGGGTCGCCCACAAAGAGAATCACCGTTTAAAGAAGGAACTAGAACAACTCGAAGAGGAAAACAATATGCTCCGGCTTAAATTTGAGATACTACTCGATATGATGACCGACAAGACGGTGGAAGCAGAGCAACAGGCTGAAATGCAGCGAGCACAGAGTCTTGGCTCCCTGAAGCAGAAGAGTAAAAAGCAAAAATGGTGAATTTATCGTAGCTAGTATAAGGAATGCAAAAATAGATTTTAATTTTTTAATTATGTTACAAACATTGATTTAATCTAAGAAGAATTAATATGTAAGTACATATATAAATTAAATATTACGTATGAATTATCAAACTAACATATTTTAAATATGTAGAATAAAACTTAACTTGACAGTTCAAAAAAAAAAAAATTGAACTCCAATTGCATTGAGGGGAGGGCAAAAGAAATAAACCTGGAAAAAAAAAAAAAAATATCGGAGACATAACCTTTGGCTGAGTCCCACATAGTGTAGTCCAGGTGAGCGCACAGCCCACATGACGTACATCTGTCCCACAGCTGCGTACTATACATCTGTTTCTTGTGACTTCTGCGTCATCATCCTCATCGTCCTGATATAACTCATTACTGTTGATATCTGAGACCGAAGTATGGAGAACTTGCCGGTTTGCTGTTTTGGAGCTTTTGGACTCTGATTGGAGAATTTCTGCTGCAACAAATTCTTCTTCTGAAAATACTTCGGGCTTAATTTGAAATGGAATAAACCTGTTGATCAATTAGCCAAACAAAATCTTTAGATTCTCAGCTTAGTAAGGGATGGTCACACGTCGATCTACTTTAACAATTCTTTGATTTTTTAACGTTTTCTCGCGTAGCAGTTGTTGTTGCCCGCCAGGACCCGGAGCTAGTGCATAGATAAATAAATAATAAATACATATGTAGCTAGTTAAGCTAGTGTCATCTTTGCAGGCGGTTCTGCCGCGTTTAAATTTTAAATTCAGCGCACCAGTATGCCACAATAAATGGAGCCAGATAAGACGGAGCATGAATTAAATTTAGAATCGTTTGGCAGGAGTGTTTTATTTGATCAGGAGGGGGTGGACCGGAAATGGGAAGGGTCCTCCTGAGACCAGTCCCATCAAAGATGACTCCAATCTCGAGAAAAATCTAAAAGAAAATCCCATAGACCTATAGTCCGTTCGCGTTAAGAAAATAGTGAGTCATCAGTGCAACTACATGGTAAAGGTGTATTCACAGTGGAGTAAAAATTCTTTTTTTTTTCAAACATTTAATTAAATTTAATAGAAACAAATTTTCTTAAAATTACTTAAATCACTAATCAGTATCGCTAGATTCTCCAGGAACATTAATTATGAAAGAATTTTGTTCTGCAAGTTCCATGATGTCATCCAAATTCCACATGGTATTTTCTTCGCGTATCACGTGGTCGCAGCACTTCTTCCAACGATTAGCGTCTATTAATGCTATTGCGTCATCTAATTTTTTTATGTCACTCATTTTGAACGTGGAGTTATTGGCACCAACATAATTTTTTATTTGGGCCCAAACCAATTCAATTGGATTAAGTTTGCAATGGTAAGGCGGTAGGCGAAGAATTGTAATGCCATTACTTTTGGCAGTCTCACCTATTAAATATTTATTATATTGTGGGGCGATTTCGGCAACATTCATTAATAATTCTTTTTTTTAAATAAGTCATGTCCATGGATTTGCCTTTGCTTTGCAGCCAATCTATTATTTGCTGCTTGTTCCAGCTGGTTGTTGGTATTTTTTCGACTCCTACCGAATGATAGGGAGCGTTATCCATGACAACCACACTTCCTAGGTTCTAGCTTAGGCATTATATTAATGAACCAATTAAGGAATCTTTCACCATCCATCTCTTCATGATAGTCTTTTGTAGACTTAGATTCAAATACTAGTAGACCATCTTCCACGAATCCCCTAATACAATTAACCTTTTACCTTTTCCTGTTGGAGCTTTTGGACCGGCTGATAAGCCATCTAGAAAGACTTGTCTTTTATTTTTTACCGTTGTATCCAACTATGCTTTTGTCTTTACGTGTCCGGCGTTTATCCACGTTTCTTCAAGATAGCAAATGGTTTTATTAGCGGCTCTGTATTCTTTTATTTGCCTCAGATATTTACGCCTCCATAAAACAATATCTTCTCTTTTGACTAACAATGTTCTGCTATCCCGTTTATTGAAATCGAAACCAAGCTCGTGCATTATTTTATGAAGTGTGGTACGTTTGAAAACAGGAATATCTTCGTCAGCTTCGCAAAGTGTTACAATTTTGTCCAATGTCGGGTAGTCGTTATTTAAATATATTGAGTGAACTTTTCTCCTTATTGCACATTTATCTAGTTCATCTAATTTATCGACCGTCGATAGTCGAGCTCTCTTTTTCACGGGTGATTTTAATGTGTTAGTATCATTTTGTTCTTTAATAATTTTATAAACAGTATTTTCGGACACACCACATGCACTTGCTGTTTTTATTACTGTGCTGTCCACCCAGTCGCATTTAAATCACACAGTTTAAAGTACTTATAAAAAATTGTAAATTACGCGTCTCTCTCCGCTATGGATTATTGATCCACTTTTATTCTTTCGAATAGGTTAGGTATTCATTTTCAAAATTTAATGTTGAACGAGTAACACGCAAAATACACAACCGTTTTGTTCGAAGACCTGACTCAACTGGTCACTGTGAACTCCACTTTCTAATTTCTTGCATTTTAATTGGCTGGGGGGCGTGGCCAGGCCGACTGACAACGATGACTCACTATTTTCTTAACGCGAACGGACTATAGGGTGTGTTCCGAAATGTTCCCAGTATACTGGCGAATAAAAATGACGTCATTAACTGACGCCATATTTTAATGGCGTGCCGCCGCCATATTGTGTCGGATACTCGGATATCCCGCCATATTAAAAAAAATTAATTGTGTGTACGCTGAATGACGCATGCCAGAATTTTTATTTATTTATTCAAATACAAAAAAATATAGAATTATTCCTGGTATCTCCATTCTTCACAAATTAATTGAAACAGGATATAAACAGCATTCTTAACGTAATTAGTGAAAAACCCGAGTGTGCTTTTTTGAGGCACTGAGTTCATGTCCATGTAACCATTGCCTCGGACAGGCACCCCAGGTATATGAACTAATGTAATTTAATTTATTACCTACTTTTACTTACACATATTTAAGCATTAACTTATATATTACTAGCGTTAAAACCGGGCCGACCGAACAACTAAAACGGACCAGTGCGTTGGCCCTAAAATTACAGTTTAGGGTTTTAGATCATAGTTTGTGATTTTGATGTAAATTGTGTTTCAAAAAGTGCGACTTTTGTAATTGCTGAATTTGAAAATTAAACACAAGGAAAATACTGAAAAACTTTTAATGAAACAAATACAAAACATTATATATTTACATATTAAATATTCTACAGTTATTTATTCATTTGCAACCCACACTTAGTCGAAATGTATTTATGTACATATTTATATAACATCTATTTAGTGTTTTATGCTGCAGCATGCGTAACTAAAAATAAATGGTATCGTATTTATCATTATAATTATAAAGGTTTAAAAAATCGTGTTTTCTATTTTGGAAAGTATCCTTCTCACCATTCTTTACTTTCAGCTTATAACATGTCACATATGTTAATAATGATTTGACAAAAGTTTCAATAGGATAGTGAAAAAATGTATTTACAGCCTCACCAGGATATATAAAAACCTTCGCTATATTTTAAATATTCACGAAATTAATTACCTTAATTTTGAAATAATGAATGTGAACTTGGTCTTGCATATATGCAAAAAAAGAAGATAAAACAGAAAGATATAATTAAGCTTATTTATTTGTTGTGGCAATAAATTGTGTGATTTATTTAGGAGCGTCTTGTATTAAATACCTATACATAGCAATGTAATAATCAGTTCATAAAAATCAAACAGAAATAACATGAAAGATGTGTGAAATATCTCAATTTTGTATATTGTAAAATGATGTACCTATCATATATAAGGTTCCGTAAATAGGTATTTGCTATGAGGTTTTTTTTTAATAGAATAAGTCTAACAAACGAGCACAGTTAGTGAGTGAATGCTATGGTCTATAGATATCTACATTTGAGGGGTGCCAAACCATAACGTTTTAAGTGCCACACGAACTGAAATGCGTTTTATTGCAGTAAAACGTTGTATGTGCCGGCGTTTACTTGCAGTAATGAGTTGAAGGGTTTCTAACGCCATCTAACTTAAATATTGTGAAACAGCATGCCATAACGTTGTAAGTGCCAAATGAGCTGCAAACGTCAGTGCATTCAAAATGTCCGAACAAGACGGTGCGTCTACAACGAGAAAAAAAATTGTTAATAAAAAGACATGGAAAAAAACAATAAGGAAATATTGCAGAAACAAGGGCTTATCGTATGTGAATACAAAAAATAAAGAAGTGAGTGAAAAACGTGAGCCTAGTGAGGTATGTGTGCCAATTTTTTTAAACCATTGTTAAAAAACGTAAACATAGTATTTTACCTTTAAATATATTTATATTACTTTACCATTGTTATTATACACTTATATTACTAAACGGTGATGAAAACAGTAAACAACATTTTATGCAAATTGTAAATTTAATCATTTACTTTGTTGTAGGTTTCTTGCAAATGCCAGTTTTCGTGTACCTGTTTGACATTGGAATGCCGTAAAAAATTATTTCACGACTTCTGGAATCTGGGAGATTATAACGAACAGCAGATTTACCTAAAAAACCTTATACGGCTTTGTTTAATAAACAGAAGGAGACATGGCAATTATGAAGATGCAACCGAAAGCAGGCGACAACGTACATTTAAATACTATCTCATAATTAGAGGCATGTCGGAAGTTCAGGTAAGAATTACTATTCGTTATTTGAATTATATTCTTAGTTAGTACAATAATTAATGTTTTCAAAAGAATTCTATTCTACAAATAGTTATAAGTTCCTTTTAATTTCAGGTGTGTAAAAAGACGTTTTGCGATACTTTTGGTATCGGTCAACGCCATGTGCAGATGCTTTCCGAAAAAAAAAATTAGTAATGACGTATCTGTAAAAGATAGACGTGGTGGAAAAAGGCAAAGACGCGAGCCTCAGTGGAAAGAAAAGATTATCGAGTACATAAAGTCAATACCGGCTCAAGAAAGTCATTATAGTCGAAATGACGCTCCTAATGGAAAATATCTCCCAACAGAACTTAGTGTGGTCAAACTATATAAAGGGTTTTTAGAAAAGCACCGTGATGGATCTATTAAGCCACCAGTATCTAGGCAATGGTTTAATGAAATATTTTTGACCGAGTTTAATCTTTCTTTCAAGCCTCCGCGAGTAGATACATGACCGACGTGTGACTCTTCTAAAGTCTAAATAGATACTGCTCCAACTGAAGTAGTAAAAGACCTCGCTAAGCAAAAGCACTGAAATTATCATGTCGGAAGAGCACTGAAATTGTCAATTATAAAACCTTTATTTAAAAAAGGGCGAAAGGATGATGTTCAAAATTATCGTCCGTTAATATCTATTCTGGCTAAAATCTTTGAAAAATGTATGTATAAAAGAATAGTTGATTACTGTAATAAATACCAGATAATTAAAAGTGAACAATACGGGTTTCAAAAACACAGATCAACCTCACTTGCCATGTTTTCGTTAATAAGAATAGTACTTAGTAACATAAACAACAGACAGTTAACAACAGGATTATTATTTGACCTCTCAAAGGCCTTTGATTGCGTTTCACATGACACATTATTGCAAAAATTAGAGACAATTGAGATCAGAGGACCAATACTTCAGTGGTTATAGTCATATTTAAAAGACAGACAAAAATGTGTTATAATTGATAAAATAGATAAAAACAGTAACTTAACATCTCATTCATCTGGATATAAATATAATAAATTTGGCGTTCCGCAAGGAAGTATATTAGGACCGATTCTTTTCCTATTATATATTAATGATATTGTTGACATTACGAATCATAAATGTGTTTTATTCGCTGATGACATTTCAATTATTGTGACTAGTATTAAAAATAATAATACCATTAGGAATCATGAAGATGACATTAATAACATGACATTGAATGGCTTGACGTAAATAATTTGAAAATTAATTTAGATAAATCTCATTACATACAATTTAATAAATCTATTAATTCAAATCATAATATTAAACTTAATATACCAAAACTAAAAAAACTTACATGAACAAAATTTCTGGGAGTAACGTTAGATGAAGATATAAACTGGGAAGAACAAATAGATAACGTATGCCGTAGAATTAATAAATTTGTATATGCCCTTAAAATCGTTAAAAACATCACAAATATTAAGACGGCAATTGCAACGTACCACGCATACGTAGAGTCTATTCTTCGCTATGGAATCATAATACGGGGTAATAGTACTGACCGAAATAGGGCATTCGTTGCCCAAAAAAATGTATTCGTGCAATCTGCGGGATGTCGCCAGATATTTCCTGTAAACCACTATTTAAGAGACTTGGTATATTACCCCGCCCGTCACTATACATTTATGAAGTTAGTATGTTTGTCTTTAAAAATAAGTCATTGTTTATTAAAGCGCGTGATATATATCCCCGAAACCGACATGACCCAGAAAAACTAGTTCTAGATGTTATTCCTAGAATCGTTAAATACAACAAAAGTTGCCTAAATATGTGTATAAAAATATTTAATAAACTACCTAATGAGTTTAAATTGTTAAGTGAAAGATTATTTAAGAAACATTTGTTTAATTGGTTAAAAACCGAATGTTTTATGACGTAAAATATTTTTTAGACTGTAATTAATTAATATTGTTGATTCTGTATTTGCATGCTATTTACCATTGTTAGCGAAACACGATTGCACTAAACAAATTGTAAGATCTTTTTATACCGTGATTCTTGCAAATAAAAATTTATGATTTATGAAAAGTTGGACTTTCATCACAAGCAAGCTGAGATGGCCAGAAAACTAATGAATAATGATGGAGCAGACTCTAGATGCCCTAATTCAGATGTTCGAGTGGTTCAGTTCGACCTCCAGCAACAGATGTACCTCCCAACATTAACCCATACACAGATGTACTACAGTCGTCAGCTGGCGTTTGTCAATATGGGAATTCACTTGGAGGACGAAGGAAAGGGTATCATGTTTCTCTGGAATGAAACTGTTGGGCAAAGGGGTTCCAACGAGATCGTTTCCTGCCTTTACAAGTTTTTCACTTTTAGTGAAATAGGATACACTACAGATAAGAAGAAATTAATTTTGTGGTCAGATAACTGTGGTGGACAAAACAAGAACCAAGCTGTACTTGCTATGGTCCTCGTTTTAATTGCAAAAGGTTTCTTTTCAGAAATTACTCATAAATTTCCTGTAAAGGGTCATACATTTCTCGCCTGCGATCATTGAAAAAGCGGAAAAGTGTGCAAAGCCACTGATTCCAAAAGACCTTATTGAACTTATTACAAATGCTGGCAAAAAAAACCATTCTTGGTAGTGGATAATAAAACCTTTTTAATTGGATGAATCTGGCTAAAAATATGAAACCACCAAAAAGCTACAGATATCTTCGGCAACGATGATTCGCCTAACATCTGAAAATGTTGGTGTCATTTTTACAAAGAAAAGTTACGGCGAATTTGCTCCTTGGATATCAACTCCAGTGCTTAAACCTGGAATTACTAAGGCGAATTTTGACACAAGTTACAAGTTGACATGATCGAGACACCTGTACCTTTATCTGCCGAGAAAAAGAAAGACATTGGTGCCATGTTGCCGTATTTAGCCGGAGATAGCAAATTATTTTATGAAAACCTTTTGAAATAAAGATATTTCAAGTTGAGTTATGTGCAAGTAATATAATACTTACAACGTTATGACTTGCATAAATAATGGTACTTAAAACGTTTTTGTTCTTTTAATTTTTTTTAGAAACAAAATAATATTATTTCCTTGTTTTGACTGACACAAAAGTTTATTATATAATATATTATTAATAATAAATGATAATTTGATTAAACATTCTTTTTTTATTGCTTTGCTCTTTCTTTTTCCATTAAAACTGTTTTTGTATCTCCTGAAAATTCCACTTTCTGGCACTTGAAACATTATGGTTTGGCACCCCTCATTTATCCTCGATTAAGAATCAACACGCAGATGCATTGTCACCCCTGAGAACGAATGCCTCGTTTCCAGTAAAAAAGGGTATCCGGATCTCTACACTTACCATACGAAAATTATTACACTTAAATTTTAAAATTAAATGTTGGCGATTTAAACAAAAAAAATTGTATATATGATACACTTTTTTAAAGGAAGAAAAAATCGACACATACTTAATTTACAAAACTATATAATACAATTTATGTTAACATGAAACTATTTATTGTCATAAATACTATACTTGGTGGTGAGACACCCTTTCTGGCAGGAGTCCATCTGGGTAGGTACCACTTTGTTACGTATTTTTGCAACCAAATGTTGCATTTAGTGCTATGTTCCAGTCTAGGTTGAAGGGAGTAGAGAGCCTAGTATTATAACAGACTGGAATGCACTCCATCTTAGTCCTCAGAGGTGACAACGCACCTGTAGTGTTCTATGTTTGAAGTTGGCTGCGGTGTCCATGGACTGCATTAGCTATTTACCATCGAGTGGACTGTAAGTTTGTTTGTCATTTTAGTTTTATAAAAAAAAATCTATAAACGGACCTTTGGGAATCTGGATATTATGAAAAATCTATTGAATGTATCTGTTAAAAATAAAATTATTTGCACTATTGAACAACTAATCTATCTCTGTATGGTAACTGTTTTGCAATTTTCGTTCTTCTTATGGTATTTATTTCCGCCCAAAGATGTGTTAAAATTAGTACTTTTAAATATATTCTTTTTTTTACTTTTTTGTTTCCATACAGGGCTAGATAATAATGAGACAAATTGAAATCATTTTTTATTTTGAACGTACGCCATCAAACAGTGGAGTAATCGCCAGACTACGTTTGTATGGAAGAATAATAAGAATATATTAATACAAAGTCAAGTTCAAATACGCTATACGAAGGCAGCGTAAGAGAATATACACTATCCCATATCATCCCGTGGGTGCCATAAGAGGCTACAGAGGGAAATGAAAGGAAGATGAACAAGAGATGGACAGCTACATCTTTATGATAACTTAAAATAACAAAAAACTGCGGTTGCCGACCCTAGTGTCAACTAGGCAAATAGCCCCTATATGATAGTGAAGGCCTAGAGAAGGGAAAAGGTACAGCAGTTTACTATTGATAGGCTATATCCTTTTCATTTTATAGAAATAAAGGTGACAAACACTTGACACTTGATTGTAAGTTGATGCTGTGGCCCATAAACATCTACATTTAACCTCGATTAAAAATCAAAATGCAGGTGCGTTGTCAGTTGTCACCCCTAAGGACTAAGATGGAATACCACGTTTCTAGTAAAGAGGGTGTCCTATGATCTATACTCACAACACAACAGCATTAAGCTGCTATTTTACGCTGGCATTCTGTGAAAGCGTGGTCCTTCCCCAGTCGAGTCAACCCATTCGTGAGAACCATAATATAGTTGCAGTGTAACTCTAGCACATGTAATGAATTAATAAGTGAATGAATAACTTACCAGCAGTTTACTCATTTTTGTAATAAGATACAAAGGGTTATTAGGGATTATATGGAATCATTTTAGGCTAATTATAAAATAACTATAGGATAAATCGTATAAGACCTTCTATCTTAGTACTTTTGGTTTGAACGGCAACATACTTGAAGATTTTTTTTATTTGAAGGGCTATATGGGCTGCATTAATGTCACTGTCAGATGGTTTGCAACTTATTAGTCTCGGAGATTACAAAAAACATTTCAAAATATATCTAACTACACGGATTTACTTTAGTGATAATTTTACTCATTTCATGACACATTATTAGGGCAACGAGATCTCGTGTGTCCTTCCTGCCGACAGAGACCGCATTTCCTTGTTCTCGGTCCTCCAGCATCGCTATTGCCACTGCCACTGCCACTGCCTCGACCACGGCCCCTGCCTCGGGTCGCATTACTACCGTTCCATTCTACTGCAAGTTACAAAAAAATTACAGCATTAAATTTATTTCTTTGTTTATGCTTTTTATTGCACGCAACATATTGTTGCGCGCCACAGTTGATGGCACTAGCGCCATCTATTATCGAAACTTTCTAGAAAGCCCCCACAATCGAACTTTCTGCGCCTGGTCGGTCGGGGCCCGTATTTGCTGGAATAGTCTGCATGTTTCGGTGGAACAGCCCTATATAATAGTTAAGTTAATAAATAGTTAAAAGGCGCGATCGGGGGGCAGTATTGAATTTTCAATACGAGTAAGTAAGGTAGTAAAATAAAGTGAACTAAAGTGTGAGTAATTATTAGTGTGATTTAAGTTTTAATTAGTGTTCAGTAATTAAAGTGTCAATTTTGGTAATTCAATCGGCAGTTTTTATTGTCACGAACCCTAAGCTCGTAACAATATTAAAATAACATACAACATACTTAAAGTTATAAATGTATATATCGTAGGATAATTAAATAAACTGAATTTTCGTAAAAATACTAGGAATATTGCGAAATTTATCAGGTTGACTGGGCGGACCACACACTATTATGACTTTTTTATACCAAAGTGAATTAGTCGCGCGGTCTACAAAGAAAACTTTCTTTGCAATCTCAGTCTAAATCGATCACATCGTAGTCAGAAGTGGTTCTAATAGACGGCGCCAGTTCTTCTAATTCAGAAAACGAGTCAGACCAACCGTATCTTTGCAATAATTAATAGAATCAGCCGTTACTTTGCGGAAATCATTATAATAAAGATCTTAATAGTTACTTTGCAACCATCCGTTGAATAAAATCAAATGATGTGTAGTTTGAAGAGCAGCTAAGTCTTAGCAGTCAGCCGCCGTAGAGTCTACATCACCTGAAGATGCCTCGTGTAGAGGCGAAGAAACACGTGTCGTATTATCGTCGATGGTGTGTCTTTTCTAGAACAGTAAGGTGTTTGGGAGTAGTGGTGCTGGGATTAGTGGTGACGGGATTAGTGCACGCAATTGAGGGAGGGCGGGAGGTGCTCTTCAAACTAGGTAAGACACATTTTGTTTTATTCAGCGGATGGTTGCAAAGTAACTATTCATATCTTTATTGTATCTTTACTTTTTAAATCAATTAATGAAAGTAACAATACCTATCATATCAATACATTTCTCTGTTAAGATACAGGTCTTCAAACGTAATATAGGAAGTTAAAATTTAAATAGTGATTTAAAATAAAGTTAAAACTAAAACGACATGAAGACACTTTTACATGGCAACCCTGCCAGTATTTAGAAATTAGGGTATCTATTGAACGAATTATCCCTATTTTCTAACATTACAGTAACAAGATATTCATATTGCCACTATATCTAGTTTTCACTTTTAATAAAGTTTCAAGAATAATCAAATTTCATCAACATTATCGCTTGTTATAGGATGGCTTCTTTTTTCTTTTGCGTCTTACCTGTGCTTCCAGAATCAGCCCATTGAAAGAAATTGCATCTTGAATTAAAATCTTTTGGGCATCCGTAGAACGGACGTCCTTTATTTGGGCCCTCTTTATGTACTATTATCCTGAAAGAGATTTTTAATATGAAAAATATTAACAAACTTGCGTCTTATTGTTCTATTCTCACTGTATACAAGAATTTTTCTTTTGATTAAAATACCGTTTTAAAACCACTATAAAGCCATATTAATTCATGAATTTCTATTCGTAGAAATTACGCAAAGGTTTTTATTATGTAATTGTTAATACAGACGTAATATTTCTGTGTCACAGGTGACAAAGTGTTATAAATAAAGTAATGGAGAGTAGATACTATACTAATGTTCAAGACTCGATGCCCGCGGTGCAATAAAATGCGATACAGGCAGCCGGTTGTTGCGCTTTGCGCTCTCTGTCTCACTTACGGGCCTTTTGGTAGGCCTGCCACGAGACGAAGCCTAACGCAGTCTCTACCGCTTTACCTACATGCATCAATCAACTCCCTGGATGTCTTACCACGTTGTCACTCCGTTTTATGGAGGGACAGTTGATTTGATTGACAGGAGATGTTTATCACACAGATAAACTCCAAGCGTAGTCTATCACTACTGTTTTTTCATAAAATCAGTAGTGATAAACTACTTCTCAGATCCATGTCGTCAGTGGTCGTACGCTCTAAGTTATAATATCATAGACTAAGAAAATACCGTGTAGTGGCGGTGTAAGAAAATCCACTATCCCATAGAATACTATAATACACAATAGAATGGCTGTCAACCTTATTTTATACGACGATAGGCGACGCCGGGAGCACACATACAAGCAATAACGTCGTATTATCACT